AAAAAAAAAAAAAAAAAAAAAAAAAAAACATTACATCTTGTGAGGGATGTGTCCTTTGATTTCAATTAGAGATAAATGTAGCTAATGTGTATCTGCGAATGCGACTTCTTTTCCTCTTATTGATGATAGATACTGAAGCAATTCTATATTTGTGCTAATTTACGTTTTCCTTTTTATGCAAAGCTAAAATAAATGTTCTTGTTTCGATCAATAACTGAAAGCTAACTGAAAGCTATATTTGATTGTTTATTTTTTACGCCGTAACAATCTATCCATTAATTTCATTTCTTATTGGAATTCATTGTGCATATAATTTTTTTGTAATTGTAGATAATGGCTTCATCATCATCGTCCCAGCCTCAAAGATACGATGTACAACCTGGACCGAGGGATCCCAAATTTCTATATCTTCAATACAAACACTGGGCATGGGCGGTTTATAATAATCAACCGGGAACTCGTAGCGACATAGTTTCAAACCGCCACTACGACTTACAGTTCTGGAAGGCTTTGCCAAAGCAGCATCCGTCGGTTTGGGAGGTGATCGAGCGGACCGGTTTCGGGCCCTTGTTTCGAATGGGCCGAGTCCAAACCGACAACGTCGTCATTACCGGTCTGCTCGAATGGTGGCGTCTGGAGACGCAAACCTTTCATTTCGATTTCGGGGAGGCGACCATCACTCTGCAGGATGTACAAGTCCTGTTCGGTCTACCGGTCGATGGAGCTGCTTGTTTAGGAGTGACGGTAGACCTAACACCGGTACAATGGCGTGATAGGTGCAAGAACTTGTTAGGGTTTCAACCCGATGTCCAGGTATATTTTTTCCTATTTTTTTTTAAATGCATGTCCACTCAATTATATCGTTTTTAATGTATATAAAAACCACTGTCAGGATCCCCCAGCACTCCGGAAGAGAAAGCGGCTTACAAGCCCGCTGGTTGGGCCATTAAAGGCCAGTTTATGAAGGTTTCGGGATTAGAAAAGGAATGCATCAAAGTTCTGCGAGATGGACTTCCGGCCATACGCTACGAGCAGAGGGCGAGGGCCCTTATCCTGTGGTGCCTCGACTCCTTTTTCTTCCCCGACCAGCGGGGAAATGGCGTGAATCTTTATTGGCTGCAGCTGCTGGAGGACATAGACGGGATTAAGGGCTACAGCTGGGGTTCAGCGCTCCTAGCAGCTGTATATAGAGCGTTGTGCACTGCCTACGAGGCTGGAGCACAATGGATCAAGAGCTGTGTGCAATTGATCCAGGTAAGTTTATTTTCTTCTACTTTGAAATTCATTATTTTTTATTATAATTTTGACTAATATTTAGTAACAAATGCATACGTCCATATGTCTAGGTTTGGGCGTGGGAGCGTATCCCTCGTATTCACCCAACAATGAAGTCCAGACAGTTTATTTGGTAGGTGGTTGTCCCTTGGGTGCCAGGTAATAAGATTTATTTATATTTAATACGTAGGTTATTTCCGTTATCGAAAATTGTGATTACAAACTTTTTTTTTTCTGTCATTTTTAAGGTGGGTGGGAGGAAAAATCTAAAAGATGTAGGCAAGGGAATAGCCGCGATCCGGGATCAGTTGACAGGGCTGCGAGAGACAGATGTAAGATTCTTAAGTCTTAATTATTAATTTATCCTTCTTTCTTTTTTGTTTATAATTTTTTTGTTTCTTAATTCCTAATTTATTTTTTGTTACAGTTCATTTGGATGCCCTATCAACAGTACCTGCAAGATGGTACTCTCCCGGGTGAGTGCACAGAAGGTCCACAATTTTGATGTACCGGGGGTGGATCTTCTGTTGGAGCACACGTGAGCTACACTTGCCTGATAGAGTACTCCGACAATTTGGGTGTCGCCAGTCCATCCCCCAGAATCCGATCATTACGTGTGAGCAAGACTGGGCCAGACACCACGCCGGTCAAGGAATGACTTGGAGGGCATTCCTTGATTGGGCTGAATATCATTCACCGCTCACCTTGACCTGAGAAGAAAGACAACAAAATCTCCTCCCACTTGCCCCTGTGTATGACTTCCTGCAGCCAGACCAGGGTTACATTGATTGGTTTCACAGTAAGACTGTGAGACTACTCAGTGACCCTCGTAAATTACCAGGCTTTCCAACAGGCCGGCGGCTATAAGCCATTTGCCAAGCGGTTAGCGTGCGGGGTAAGTGTAATTTGTGGTTTATTATTATTATTATTATTATTATTATTATTATTATTATTATTAGTATTATTAAAATTATTATTATTATTATTATTATTATTAATTTATTTTATTATTATTATTATTATTTTTTTGTTTGTTTTTTGTGTTTCATACTAATTACTTTTAATTTTATTTTCAGTCTTCTGGCATGGAAGGCATCTATAACTCGATAGAGAGTATTCAACACTTGATTCCTACACTCCATCCAGAGGTGCAGACCGCATTCCAACAGTCATACAACTTTGCCTATACTTATCTAACTGTTGGAGGCCAAGCTATTACACAAACGGTGCAGTCAAGTCAAATTCTATCCCAGGACGAATACGTTCCATCCCAGAGGACACAATCCCACGTCGCGAGGCATCGACCTGCCCCCAACATCGGTGGGGGTAGAAGATCTCGAGCTCCCCCAACCAATCAACCGTCCCCAGAGCCTGAAGAACCTGAGAATCCCGACCCTGAACAACGTGAGATTTATTTAGTTAACAAAAAAATAATTTTTTTTTTTACTTTTATTTTTTAGTTTTCTCAAGTCTAATTTGTTTTTTTTACTAAATTAATTACATAGGTGAAGAAGACTCAGATGGAGAAGACTCTAATGAAGAGAATGAGTCGGATTCCGAAGATCTTGAAGAGAATGAGTCGGGTTCTGAAGATCTCACACAGACCCTTACACCCTCGTCTTCTTCACGGCCAAAGGTTCGGAAGGGGTCCCGAGTGCGCAAGCCTAGGGATCGCTTTACTCCTTCGTAGTTAGTTTGTGCTAGTTTCTGTTGTATGAACGAAACTCGGATTGTTTTGTACGTATAAACTTTATTTTGACCTTTTTGGTATGTAGTGTTTTTTTAATTAATTATTGTTCATCTTGTTTTATATAATGTATGTTGGATTATTATTTGTTGAACTGATTGGTATTAGTTGGTTGAACAGGTTTATTTGATTGTGATTGGTTGAACATGTTTATTTTGTTATGAGATATTGAACAAGATTTCGTTTAAAAATGGATGCCAAATTTTTTTTTTTCTACAGATTAAAACGTATTTATAGAATACGTTTTTTTTTTTATTTTATTACAAAAACGTATTCCTAGAATACGGTTTATGTTCAAATTGAAATTTAGGGCAAAATTGAATTAGGGCAAAATTGAATTTTGGGAAAAATTGATTTTTAACCTAAAACGTATTATTCAAATACGTTTTATAATTGAAAATACTTTTTTCCCAAAAAACGTTATTTTTAAAAATTATAAAATTATTTTTATTTTTAAAACGCATTTACATAATATGTTTTATAATTAAAAAATTTATTAAAAATTAATTATAATTATAAAACGTATTACTATTATACGGTTTTATATAAAACGTATTTTGGTTATTCGTTTTACCTTAATTTAATTATGTTAATTAAGTTCTTTAATCATTTTTTACGGACACGTATTCTGGAAATACGTTTTCATGAGGAAAACGTATTTCGATAATACGTTTTACAATTAAAAAAAATTGAAAAACGTATTCACGGAATACGTGTGTTTGATTTTGTTCCACCTCCTTTATTTTTTTTTTTTTGTTTTTGTTCACTTGTTTTTTTTGTTTTTTTAATTAAATAAAAAATCAATAAAGATAGGTAGGTTGTTATAAGTTGGGTTGTGTAGGTGGAAGAAAGAAAAATAATTTTTTATTATTGGGTTGAGTTGAGTTGGGTTGGGTTGTGGATAAAAATATTCAAAAACTCGTATTTTATATGGATTAAAGTCATCTTTGCAAATGACAATTAAAAACTAAACACTTTGATAATGATTTCAAATTAAAAGTTTGAAAATGCAGAGTCCTAAGTTGAATAGTGCAATACTTTTTTGTCCCTTTTTTGTTATATTATTTAATTTTTCGATATTTAACATTTAAATAAAGAATAAAAAATTTATGTCTAATGGTTAGAATTAAGTTGTAGTTAAATAGAATAATAATAATTAAAATGCATATACTTAAAATTATACTATGACTTACCTCATTATATTTTCGTTGTTTGTTTTTACTTTTTAATATATTCGATTTATTATTAAATATTTATATTATGATGATATTTACATTAAACATTTGTGAGCATTAATCCTTAGATGCTATTTTTTAAGTCAGTCAAATACTATGATAATTTTTGTAATCAACCATACATTTTTATTATATGCAAATATACTTGTAATATTTCTATTAAAAAAATATAAGTTATACCTAAATAGCTTATGCAACACGCAACGCTATTTAAGCCACGTAGTATAAAGACCAAAACACGACGCATTACGCTATACGCGTTTTAAAACACTGAACGACACCCAATGCCCTACAAATGTCTGCAGCAAAAAAAAAAAAATAAAAAAATAAAAAAAAATGAAAAAATGAAAAACGAAAAACAAAAGAAGCTGAGCGCAGAGCTCCCCGAATCCAGGGGGAAATTAGTTCAAAAAATCAGAAAGTGTTTGTTCTTCCACTGAAAATATCAGAATGTATAAAAAAGTAAAGAAGAAGAAGAAGAAGAAGAAGAAGAGAATAGAGGGATAATTGCTTCCATGAATTTCATCATATCTTAAAAATGGCGGAACCCTCGTGCTCCTCTCATCTGCGGAGATATAATACTGTGTAGTTCGGTTACACTTTGTATTTCAATCTATACATAATAAATAGAAAGGGGAATAATAAAATGAGGTGCAACAGTACGGCTCAGAAGCGGAATCCCATCGCCACAAACAAGTCGGCGCCTCCGCAGAACGGCTCCACCGCTGATGGGACCAACCCCAAGCCCTCCTCCCCTTCTCACTCGTATGCTCTCTTCTTCTTCCTTTCTTTTTTTCATATTGGAATTGAGTTTGATTTCGATCATGTGTAAAAACCGGCAAGTAAAGGTTGCTACTTTCAGGTGAAAAGTTTGAGATTTTGAGAATTTTGTTGGTTAACATAGTCGACCGAAGAAAAAATCGGTCGAACGATTTGTTGTGAGTACTTAGATAGTAGAGAATTTAGATACCGTATAGCTGGAGAACCCCTGTGGCATCATGGAGAATGTGTGCACACTTATGCCATTGGGAAGAAGTGATTTTAATTGGGAGTCGAAAGTTTGTCGTGTTTTGCGAATAGAAGATGGACAGCGAAGAAGTTGAGAGCCGAGTGTTTGGTGGAGAAGTGTTTTTTTGGGTGTGTTGATAATGAAATTAAAATCTTAAGCAGCCTCCCCATGTTTTTCAGTTCTAATTACATGAACAAGAAACACGAGTAGAAGCACGCATTTGCTGCACTAAAAATACGATTGTGGCCAAGACTAAATATTACTGCTTCTTCTTCTTTTCCCTGGGATATTGCATTTAAATTGAATTTGCTGTTGAAATGTGATGGTTTCTTCTGATTAATTACTTGACAAGTAAATAATAAGTTTTCTAAGTGTTCAGCTTTGCCTGCCATTTTGGGAATTTATCAATGTGCAATTTTTCTGTAAATAATCCAAACTATGATTTTCCGATGCTTGCTATTGTACATTTCGCCTTTTAGTTTTTAGTACAGTTTTAATATGCTTGCCTATGTCTAGCGCCTGAAAAATACGTACTTTACTATGCAACTACCATGTTATCGTTTATTCAACTCTCAAACATATAGTAAGCTGGATCTTTAGCTTTATCTTTGTGTAGGAATTTCTTATATTGCTTTCGTTGGTAGCACTTGTATGCATACTTTCTTTCCTTTCTTCAGTTTTTTCCCCCATGCTTATTTAAATTGTGTTCAATATATTAGGTAAAACTTTCAGGTAACAGTTTTTTGTTACCTATGTTATATCTATATATTTTAACACGAACTCATAATAAATAGATAGATAGTCTGCAGTACTGTGTAATTTGACACTGGGTACTTGTGTTTTTCGTATGCATGCAGGCCTGTTGCAGGGGAAAGAAAAGTGAAGAATCTGAGATTGTCCAAGGCACTTACTATTCCTGAGGGGACCACTGTGTCAGATGCCTGTAGGAGAATGGCGGACAGGCGTGTTGATGCTGTTCTCTTGACTGATGCTTATGCCTTGCTTTCTGGGATTGTTACTGATAAGGTGCTCATCTAATGATCATGCTCTAATGGGTCGAACTTGTGTACTATCATACGGTTGCCTCTCCTTGCCTGTAAACTACCATGAGAATTGCATTTTTTTTTAGTTTGTTGATCCATCAATTTACTGTAATTATTACAAATGTTATCATTAATCTAGTCATCGTTATAGATTATTATTATTATTATTATTATTATTATTATTATTATTATTATTATTATTCAACTTTTTTTTAATTATTATTATTTATGAGCAGGACATAACTACCAGGGTCGTAGCCGAAGAGTTGAAACCAGAACAGACAACAATTTCGAAAGTAATGACAAGAAACCCAATTTTTGTGAACTCTGATACATTGGCTATAGATGCTTTGCAAAAGATGGTCCGAGGTTAGTTTTCCCGTGCCTTGTTTTCTTACAGAGTATATGTATGCTTAGTAAGCTATTCACTAATTCTTTTTGTTTTGTTTGCATGAAGTATCATGTGCCCATTGGTTATTACTATTCGATCCTTTACACTCGTTCACGTTTTCGCTACTAATATTCGAAAGGTACCTGTTTTGATAGGGAAATTCCGACATCTCCCTGTGGTTGAGGACGGTGAAGTTATAGGTGTGTTAGATATCACAAAGTGTCTGTATGATGCCATATCAAGAATGGAAAAGGCTGCAGAGCAAGGAAGTGCAATCGCAGCCGCAGTCGAAGGCATCCAATGTCAACTTGGAAGCAATTTTTCTGGTTAGTAAATTTAACATGCCTATTTTTTTAAATAATAGTTTTTAGAATGATCAGTCAGTGTGCATACAGTGGACATGAACAAAAGGGTCTCATTAGCTATTGCAAGTTGTTCATTCTCATGAAGGTTGAATTTTGGAATGAGCTGTAACTATTTGTTAGTAGTATTTTTGTTGTGGGTGAAGGGAAAATTCAGTAGTTTTTACTCCGTCTGTTATCAGTTTCTTGTATAGCACTTCGATACATGTCACTTTGTGATTATGTAAGGCTCATGTTGCATATGATAGTACTGAAATCACTATAGCTTAAAAATCATAGAAATTTGGAGTTCCGTTGATACTGTTTGCTGCAGGATGACTAACTCGAATAGCTTACAACACCATGTTAATGGCTATGTCATGATCCGTGCTAAAGTACTAAATTAATAACTCCAACTTTGAAGACCAATTTGTCAGCAGAAGCTCTTGAAATCTTCATATGTAGTCAAAGTCTCCAAGACATCACTCACGATTTGGACATATGTGACCAAACTCTTCCATGTATATTGTTGAATCCTGGTCTAGCACATTAGATGTGTTACAAGCTTTGGCTTTTTGTAACATGAGCGCTTTATAAGTCTATTCTCTGACTCGTCTAATATTTGTCTATAATACTGTTTACTACTCTTAATTAAACTTGTTTATTTTCCTCTGTATTTCAGCACCATTGGCTTTTATAGAAACACTCAGGGAGCGCATGGTCAAGCCTTCACTGTCCACTATCATTTCAGAGACTTCCAAGTAAACTGTGTTTTCTGGGGACTCTTTGTCTCTTGGCGTTTTTTCTGTTACTAAACCTTTAATATTCTGACGTCATCAGGGTTGCAACTGTATCGCCTTCAGATCCTGTTTATGTCGCTGCTAGAAGAATGCGTGAATTACAGGTCAATTCGGTTCTTATTATGCCCGGAAGCATCATCCAGGGGATTCTCACGTATAACCCTTCAGACTACTAAGATTTTGTTTATAACACTATTATGATAGATTTTTTAATTTGATGAACTATTCACAGATAAAGTAGGTTATGATTGTGTTATTAAAACTTTTGTTACAGCTCAAAAGATATACTCATGCGGGTTGTAGCACAAAACCTATCTCCTGAGTTGACATCCGTCGAAAAGGTTAGAAATCTCTTCTGTTTTAGTGGTTTCAGTTTGCAGATCATACAATTTAATCTGATTTTTATTTTGAGCTATCATGAAGTTTGTGATTAAACCACTCTTAGGCACACTTCAATTTCGTTTTCATGCATAGGAAATCAAACCAATTTTGTTAGATGTTCGTGGACCTTTCTTTTCTTTTGTGTCTTTTCTCTAGGTTATGACTCCTAGCCCTGAATGTGCATCGCTAGAGACAACTATTCTGGAAGCATTGCACATAATGCGTAATGGGAATTTTTTGCATCTTCCAGTTGTAGACAAAGGTGAGTAATGAAGAAAACTGCTACAAGTACATAATAAATGTACATAAAGGTATACATAACACTCACATGGAGTGGGGTCCACTTGATTTTTTATGTTTAGTAGTACCCACTTAATGTGAGTGTTATGTACAACTCTACGTACTTCTGATAGCATTTCCCGAGTAATGAATGTTTTTGTATTTTATATCACCATTCTAAAAAAACTTTTAACATTATCTTTTTGGTAGATGGAGGTGTGGCCGGCTGCCTTGATGTTTTGCAAATAACTCATGCTGCAATTTCTATGGTACATTTGTTTTCTTTTGATTGCCATTGATTAAGTGCTTTCGTGCTTTCGCATGTAAAATGTCTCCTTAAATTTATTACTATCAAACTACATACATATCTGACATGGAATGTCATTTTTCAAAACATGTTAAACCTGCTTAACATTATTAATGAAACTTTGTGGCACCCTACTCCAAATAGTTATCATTTTGCACATCATGGAATAGAAAAAAATACTTAAACAAAAATGGATCAAACATCAACAACAACAACAACAACAACATTGCCTTGTAGTCTCAAACAAGTTGGGGTAGGCAAAAATGGATCAAACATCGCATGTGTTTTTTTTTTTGCATTTGCTATAACTTTTTTGCATTGGCAAGTTGTTGAGAATTCGTAAAATTTAATTATATGTATGTTTTTCATTGTTGGTCATCATAAAAATTCTAATCATAATTCATTATATATTTTACTGAATGGCCAGTCATTTGATCTCTCTGCATCGAAGGGAAAAGTTCGAACATGAATGTATATTCTTAATTTGTTTTGTCATCTTGAAGGTTGAGAGTAGCTCTGGCACTGTGAATGACGTTACAAATACAGTGACGCAAAATTTCTGGGATTCAGCTCTTAATTTGGAAGCCTCTGATGGTTATGACACTCACAGGTCTCTCTTTTCTTGGGCTTATGTTGCTAATCATCTTTATATGATTGGAATGAGAGTCCGCTAATCGTGCTTTTTCTTGTATATAGTGAGATGTCTATGTCTCATAATGTCCCTTCAGATGATACCGAGCATGCAAAGTCTGCGTACCCAACTCTCGGCCTTGGGAACTCGTTTTCTTTTAAATTCAAGGACCAAGAAGGGCATGTCCACCGATTTAATTTCGGTTAGTGTGAAGAGCTTTTAATCCGGCCTACTGTTTTTATTTGTTTTAATACTCTGTTTTTTCTTCCTATCTTTACTTTTACCGGTCAGGCACTGAAAGTCTAGCTGAACTCGTCTCTGCTGTTATGAATCGGGTGGGCGCAGACAGTGATCAACATCCCCCTCAGCTTCTGGTGGGTTTATAAATAAACAAAATATATAATATTATCTTGGTCATTATGTATTTTTTGACGAGGCTGGTTGATGTATTTTGTCATAGTATGAAGATGACGAAGGTGATAAAGTACTGCTCACGACAGATGAAGACCTTATTGGTGCTGTAAGTCATGCAAGATCCGAGGGGCAAAAGGTGAGAATAATCTACACTGGCACCAACTCTTTTGGGAAACTAAATAATCTCTAGGATAAATTTAATTGAACAATGTGTTGTGTTGTTATTACCAGGTTTTGAGGTTACATTTGAAGTATCGCAGTTCAAGACGAGAGACAGAGCAGCTGTTGTCTGAAAAGACTGGGCCGCCCTCTACACATTTCGGTATATTTGCACGCGCACTCTTTCTCACAGGCATTGGCGTGTTAGTCTGCTTGAAGCGAACGAAAACTTGACGATTACTTGTGTGTGTATATACTTCATTTTCGCTCAAATCCGAAATCATATTTTTGGGATAATTCACTACTAAGTGGGGGAGAATATGCAGAAAGAAGCATTGCACTGCATAGTGAATATATCTTCAATTTCTTACAATTTATTTATTTTTATTTTTTTTTTATTTTTAACATATGGTTAGGCTGTGACTTTTTATGAAGTTGTTAGTTATTATTGGTATAGTAGTCATCTCTCTCTCTCTCTCTCTCTCTCTCTCTCTCTCTCTCTCTCTCTCTCTCTCTCTCTCTCTCGCATTTATCGCATGATTCTTACAATCTTATCATGCCAGCCAGCAAGCAGTAACAAATCAAACACTGATCTGATCATGCTGGCATGAAACAGTGTGTGTCCATTTCCCAAGAGAAGAGTGTCAGTTTTTTTCTTATTAACTCCTCTGTCCACATTAACACAGATGCTGGCTTTTCTAAAAATAAATTCACCCACTACTTGAACTAAATTTTGGAAAAAAAAAAAAAAAAATTGTTGAAATTCTCTTTTATTGACAATGGAAAAATAAAACAATTAAATGGAGTTTTTAGCTCTGTACAAGGAATCAACATAAGCGTTATCCGGCCGCCTCCGATTTGCATCAGTTTGCTGAAAAAATTGGCCACACAACTTGGCAGCATAAGAGTTTCTTTCTTTCTTTCTTTTTTTTTTTCTTTTAAATACTAGTACATTATTTTGTTATCATGTTTGCTTTATAATATTAATATTATTATTTAGACTTATGCGTGTTGATTACTATAAGTTGAGATAATCTTATTTTGTAGATATTGAAAATAAAGAAAAAATAAGATATTTAATCTTTATTTCTAACTCACGTCTAATCGCTGACTAGGCCCGCCTAAACGCTCTAGGCACTGATTGAGCGCCTAGCGACTTCTATGGAAAATAAAATCTAACACACGCACATAGGCATGTCTCAGTGCCATGTAAATAGATGAAACATGCAAATAGATGGTTCAATTCATTCCGCAAAAGAAAATGAAGCAAAATCCATGTTTCTAAATTACTATCAATACTATACGTTATATGTATGAATGATAATTCAAGTTATAAAGTTAGATAAAAAGTATATCACATTGTAAAATTGATAATTAGTAAAAATGAACAATGTAAATATAATTTGTATAACTTACATATGAATCACTATATTTATGAGATATATTGTGATAAATAATATAATTTTATAATTATGAAAGATTGTGAACAACTAATTAACTGAAAATTATTATTATTATTATTCCTATATTAATATTTTTAGGTAATTTTCAGAGGTTATGGACCTATGGTTATGACATCATTGGACCCTTTTAATGACCCTTTTAATGAGATGAAAAAAAAAAAAAACACTATTGATATTAGAATAAATAACTTGATTTAAATTAAAGTTGTGCATAAAATTTTCGACAAGTCAGTATCCTCCTTATATTTATAATTAGTTAGTATTATTATATCTTCCCTATATATAATTCCCAAAAGCATTGAGTCTACGTGGTTGCTTTTGGTGCTTCGGAATCCTATTTGGAGAAGAATCATGCTTCGTAATTAGGTTTGGACAAATAATATTGATATATTAATAATTAATAATCTAGGTTCGGGTATTCCATAAATATTATTTAGCTAACTTAGTTATTTTAATATTACTTGTACTAATATAACCATTTAATTCTTTGTAATTTTACATAGTGAGGCATTAAGTGACTAATATATCACTGAATTTTGATTTGCTTCCTTCAATAAGCTATTGAATTTTAGATGTATTTTAAAGTTGATAAATTTTGTATTTTTTGTCGTTTTTACATATATAATATATCAAATTAATCGTCTTTTGATATCTTCGATTTGACATTCATATTGTATATATGAAATAAATAAATTATATTTATCTTTATAATAATAAAAAAATAATAATATTTATTAATATTCATAAGAAAAATAAAATTATTTATCAATTGATATATTTATATTTAATGTAGTTATATATTGTAAGTTAAAAAAATTAATATAATATAACACAAGTAAGTCGCACAAATAAAAAATGTCATAATAAATATATAATAATATATATATTCTTATAAAATGTATTTAAATTTTCAAACGACTTTTCTCATTAATTTTAGATTTTAAGAGAAAAATTAGCAAGTACCCGTGTAATGCACGGGTGTTGCACTAGTAATAAAATAGTTTTAAAAAAATATGATTCACACTTATATTTAGATAAAATTTAGCGGTTTGCTTTTAGCATTACATTTCAGGATTTATAGTAAAAAAATAATAATTAATATGTAAACTTAACAGAAACAGGAGGAATAATTAAGTGGATCGCATTAAAAAGTTTGCTCACATTTATATATACGGGAGATGCTACAGTCTCGTTACGAAACCATTCTATCGAGGTATGTAACCCTTAGATCATCATGTAACCGTTGATGAATAGTTGATCTAACGATTACAAATCCAGACGAAATGATTTCGTAACGAAACTATAGCATTTTCCTACACATACATATATATATATTTATATTATTTTCTGTTTTTCATAAGTTGACATAACTGTTTAGGGGTTGGAATTGAATCCATGGAGTTTGAAATTAATTTTGACTCAAATTTCAAAGGAAATATACATACATGCATCTTCAACAACTGATGTAGCAAATTTAAAACCTCGAAAGAAAGAAGTGAAAAGAAAGAATTGAAAAGGATGTCAGTATGTTTTCGTAATGTAGAAAGAAAGGCTTGTGTATGTGACTATGTGACTATGTGTATATCCTTCCCAATCTCAAGAAACACGTCACTGATCATTTATTATTTGTGAAAGCACAAAATTAGTACTACCTCCTGTTCATTATGAATGTCGTTTTGACTTATGTGATTCATACATTTTGTTATGTATCTAGACATATTAATGTCTAGATACATAATAAAATGGATAAATCAAAAAAGTCAAAACGACATTTATAATGAATAGGAGAGAGTATACAACAACAAGGTAAGAGACACCAAAACTCATCTCATCATCCAATGCAATCCCATCTTACTTAATTTTAATTACACACACCAATTGACACTTATGTGAAATAAGATATCATTGACGTTTGAGTGCGGTTGTTTGTGTAAATCACTCAAATACTTGCATTAGAAAGGTAAGAAGCGTTCAAATTATGTTACACATAAATAGTAATAAACTATAAATAAATAAATATATATATATATATATATATATATATAATTGTCTGTATTTGTACACAAAAGCCAAGAAAAATCTAACAATAGATTTAGTAGAATGAGGGACAATTCAAGGTGAAGTTGTCGTCATCCCAACACGTTTCACTCTAACTTGTAAGCAATCCCAAACAACAGAGATACATCACTTTCACACACACACACACCCCCACACATATTTTCATTTGAAACCAAAACACACGCCATAGAAACTACGTACTTAGAAATGAAGATCAATGGACGACCAAATTGATTAATTATTGTTGAAATAGCTAGGCAAATGATGGTTGGGGGGAATGAAGCCTGGTCCGAAGTCATTCGTGTCATTTTTTTTTCCTTGCAAATCTGGAAAAAAATAAAATTATGGATACAAAAGAAGTAATAACCTGAATGACCTCGAGCCAGACAACATTCCTCTCAACCGAAGCACTCACATAACGAATATTCGAAGAAGATAGTAGTGTATCATGAGTATTTAGTTGATGATCGATCATCATGCATATGTATAGAGATGTTTTGAGGGGAATGAAGCCTGGTCCGAAGCAATTTTTTTCTCAGTATTATAATGAGAGCTCCTCCGCAAAACAGCCTCGAGCCAGCCAACATTCCCCTCAACCTCAACTACACTATTATTATTTTCTCTCTCATTCTCTCTGAGTTTGACACAAACCCTACAACCTCATGTCTTTATTATATATAGAAAGGCTAATAGAAAAAGGAATGGGGGGTGGGGGTAGGGTCACACCCCATAATGTATGTATTTACTATTTACAATCACTCACAGACACATATACCAACACAACACAACACAACAGCTCATGACTCCTCCAAATATATACTTACTTTTATTTTTGTTTATGATTCAAATGTTGATCCTTACTTAATAACTAATCTCCTCGTCAACTTTATTTATTACTACTTGGTTTGACCTGTGTAATGTGTAAAGCCTGTGCCTTTACCTAGTAATTACACACTTATTTATTATATTTATTTATTTATTATATTTATATATTACATTTCCTAGGCTAGCTATATGACTTTGATGACTCTCATTAAACATACATACATTACCTCCTTGTTTCCAGTCAACTGGGCACACCCTGTTGCTTGCATCCTTTCAAATTCAATTCATCTCTCTCTCTCTCTCTCTCTCTCTCTCTCTCTCTCTCTCTCTCTTTTGAATAATAATAATAATAATAATAATAATAATAATAATAATAAAAAAAAAAGAGGAAAACAAATTGCAGGCAGTCAAACACAGAGAGCAAGACAAAAAGCGGGATGCATTTAAAAAAAAAAGGCGCTTTACACGAGAAATAGAGCACAAGTCTCTGCAGAACCCTCCAATCTCATTAATGCGATGCTTTCCATCATTACCTTATTATTATTTTTAGCTTCCCCTCTACACCTACTTTCCATTACTCTTCTTTCTTCTTCTTTTTTTTTTCTTCCTACCTCACCTCAATTGCCAAAAACTGTAATTACGGTCCCGTTTCGAAATCATTCCGTCGGATTTGTAACCGTTAGATCATTATGTAACCGTCAAAAATAATTGATCTAATGGTTGTAAATCATGACGGAATAGCTCCGTAACGGTTCGTGACATCTCCCTTAAAGATGAGACCAATAACAACAACATCTTGTTTATCGCGCATGGCTGTTGCCCACACGCAAAAAACCCAAATGAACATATATATTTAGCTATTTTTAGCTCTAAACGAAACTTCCACAT